GATATAATTCAGCTAAGTGGCATTTTCCCCAGCGCATCTTTGTTTTTTGAATCTATAAGCAACCATATTTAGAGGAACAAGGGGTGGAGCCTGATTGAGAGCAGAAAGACTTCCCCACTGGGTTCACTCTGCAGACCCAGAGTCTTCATCCATTGTTATACGTAGTCTATGAGCTAAACCCTTACTAAAAGAATATATACCACAATTCAATATTTGATAAATGCTTTGAAGTTTTATATCATTGCAAACTTCAATATACGCCAAAGTGTTAGTATTGTATTGTTATTATAAGTATTATTGACCTATACCGACAAAGCCAAAGTAGGTGATCAGTAGGTCAATCCATCCAGTCCCGTTCCTCCACCACATTGGTTCAAATCAAGGTATCATGACAACTGCAGGCCAAATTACCAGAATGATGCAAATACCAGATTTTGTTTGTTTCTTTAACCTTCCTGTTGAGTTCCATCATAATTTTCTTTTGATCATCTTTTAGTTCTATGACACGAAAAACTTTCTACTAATAGCCTGCACAGTGTGAATCTCTGCAGACTACCTGACCCTTTGTCTAATGCCACCACCGATGCAATATTTACTGTACATTTGTACAGAAGAAATGGTGATGATGAGGAATAGGTTACTGTGAAATTCACAGAGTACATTTATGCTCCTGATTGAATTAACAACTTGGGTATTAATTACCTCATTGAGCCATGCTTTTGTGTAGAGTTTAAGAACTATAAATGTATCTGTATGTTGTTTATTCCTCCTATGAACAGGGTAGCCTCAGAGAGCTACTAGTGAGGACACGTGATCTTATTGCCATAAAGCCAAAGCCAAAGCCAAACAAATAGTTAGCAAAACTTCTGCAAAAAGCTAATTTGAATTACAGTATGTCATTGAATAACAGGATAAATCCAGACAACAGATGAAATCCTTTGTTGCTGCAATGTGCTGGTTTAGCTGGTGTCACTGAGAACTGCCACTAGGGAACTGGCTTGTGAGGCAAGTTTACTGCTGCTATGATTTGTCAGTTTAGTTAGGCTTTCCTTCATATTCACAGAGTTCAACTCCTCCTTCATCACACCTAGAGCAGACAGAGATTGAAAGAAGAAGAAAGACAAGCATGAGATAGGTTGACTGAGCAGGGGAAAAATATGCAGATAGGCTCTGTTTAGACCCATAGTACTATCTGAACCATTGTGTTAGTATGGATATGTTGAGTACATGTTCAGATGTGCCAGTTGTTTTAGGATGTGGTCTTATTCCAGTAGCTTTCTCATTTACAATTTTCTAAAACATCTTGATAGTTGCAGTGCAAAATAATTTATGTGAATGTGTGTTGTAAATCAAACATACTGGAGTCAGCCAGGCTGCAGATGAGACCTAAAGCACTGAACTTGACTTCGACCGCCCCTTCAGGATCCTCCAACATCTTCTTTAGCATGGGCAACAGCTCTGCCTCCCATAATGGATCCTTCATAGACTCTGCAAATCCACACACACACACACATATGGGCTAACACACATGCAAATGCATTTCTAAATTTAGAATTATGCATTCCAGATTTGAATGTCATACATCCTAACTAATTTGTCACCTATGAATGGACAGAAAAATCAAGTCAGTTGATTGCTTCAGGCAGCACATGTATGTTATTGTCACTTAGCTGTATTTTTTAGTCTCTAGAGTGGCTCCAATGAGTCGTGTGTGTATTAGCTTTATTTAGGTTAGCTTTTGCATTCCCTTACACTTGTGTTTGTTTGTATGCTTCCTTTGTTCCTTGCAGGGTGGTGTATATATATAAGCAGGTTACTACCTCATGAAGCTGATTGAAAGAATGCCAAGAGTGTACAAAACTGTCATCAAAGCAAAAGGTGGCTACTTTGAAGAATCTAAAATATAAAACATATTCTGGTTTGTTTAACACTTTCTTGTTTACCACATAATTCCATATGTGTTCCTTCATAGTTTTGATGTATTCAATATTAATCTGCAATGTAGACAAAAATAAAAATAAAGAAAAAAACATTGAATGAGAAGGTGTGTCC